GACCAGAGCGGCCGTCAGGTGGCGGGGGCGGGGAAGTCGAGGAAACCAAAGGAGACAAACCAGGAGACACGGCTTTGGAGCTCATTTGGAGAGAGTGCGAGTTAACAAATGAGTAGTCGCTAAAAGAGAGAAAGAAAAAGGAGGATAAAAACCAACCAGGGCGAGGCTGAGAGAAAGAAAACCACATTCAAACCAAGCGGAGTGGCGGGCTCGTCTGGAGAGGGGGCAGCACGCACACAGCTGAGCTGGGTACCTACCTTCTCGCGGTCAGGGGCAGGAGTGCAAAAACAGAAAAGAAAGAAGGTCTCCGCATGGGGAAGGCAGGAGGGCCAAAGACAGCGGCTCTCATCTGTGCCCCCGCCCTGGGCCAGCAGATGGGCAGCCAGTGTGCAGAGGGGCTCTTGGTCTCTTCCCAGGGATGGGAGGGGGCTCTTGCCCTGCTATTTCTGTTTGCCTTTTTAAAAAGGGATTGCTTTTTTTTTTTTTTTTCCTAAGCACAGGCCTTAATAGCCAAGCTTTCCTGAACTCCCTGAGTTAACAAAAGACCTCCATAGGGCATGCGGGAAGCAGCGGATGGAAGCAGTGCCACAGATGGCTAAAGAGGGGGGCTGGCAGCACAGGAGAGAGGCCCAGGTCAGGGGAGAGAGATGGACAAGAGAGAGAGAGAGACAGACAGACAGAGCAAGAGGAACAGGGAGAGAGGGAGAAGGGGAAACAGGAAGTTGCAATGCCAGGGCAGACACGGAGAGGCGGGACGGTGGAGAGGTGGACCCGGACGTCGAGGACAGAGAGAAGGCGTTTAAACAAGGCTGGTGGGAGTGGACAGATGGGACGGACAGGGGATTGTGTGTTTAAAAGGGAAGGCAACCAACCCGCAGATTCAAGTTGGAGAATTGCTCCCTCCCCCACCTGGCGTCTGCGTACTTCCAGCAAAAGTCACCCTCCTGCCCTCTGGCCTGGCCCTGGGAGAGATGGCCACTCCACTGCAGCTGTGCTCACGGCCATTTCCTGGGGGTGCACGCTGGGGACACCCGGGTGAGCCAAGTCAGGGAGTGCCGCCCCTCTCCTTGGGGTCACCCTAGGCCGCCCGTTACGTGGTGAAATTAGGGCCAAAGGGGTAGGTTTTGGCCTAGGAGTTCAGACGCTGCATGGGACACCCGTGTCCTGCATCGATCGCTGTGTGTGGGTCTGGGTCTCAGGTCTGCTCCGGGTTCCACACAGGGAGCCAGCTCCCTGGGGACTCGGATTGAGTTCCCAGGTCTTGGCTTTGCGTTGGTCCAGCCCTGGTTGTTGTATCTGGAGGGTGAGCCGGCAGATAGGAGCCCTGTCTGTCTGCTTCTCAGATAAAATCAATAAGTAAATGAGTAGAAGAAAGGTGGGCAGAGGCAGAAGCCAGAGTGCGTCCAGTGGCTTGCTCATCAGTCACTCTGCCACCCTCACCATATGGTGCCTGCTACCTCCGAGGTCTTTGAAGTGCGAGAGACAGGTGTAGCCACGGCAGGTGGCCCTGGTGCTCTGCACTCTGGGAGGGCCACGCTGGCACTGGCCAGTGCCCTTGGGGGTTGGAGGGAGGCTGGACGGAGGCACATGTCCCGTGAGGTCTCCCACTGGGCATCTACTCTTTCGCCCCACACTGTGTGCCCCTGGGCGCCTCCATCCCTCTCTGGGCCTTGTTTATTTCTGCCTGTGTGTCTGAACTACAGGGGCCGAGTTGCTGAAGCAGTAATCATACCGAGTGGGCTTCTGTGACTGGGGGGCCACCTGTACCCCAGTCTCTCGGTGTAGGTGGTTGAGAGAGCTGGACAACAGCCACAGACTTCTGGTGGGGTCCTGGGGTGGGGGGACATGGGAGCTGAGACTGCCCAGGGCTCCTGCTGTGTGGTTTCCATCTGCACTTCTCCCCACAGTGGAGCTGCTTTGGGAATCTACCTGGGGAGCTGTGTGGCCTGGAGCCAGTCTCTTGCCCTCTCTGGGCTGCACTTTCCCCTTGGGCAAGCAACCTTGGGTGCTGTCACCCTGTGTGGCCGCAGGCTGGGGCCAGGATGCAGTGTCTCTCTTGCCTGTAGTCGGGCCCTGGCCCTGGAGCCTCTCCTTGTTCTAAACTCTCCCAGGAGTCTTCATGCCTCCCCTGGGGTTTCCGAAGGACCTGAGGCCTAGCCCTGCAGGTGTGCAGCAGCCTGTCCAGGATCTCTGCTCTCGGTCCCTGTCGGGCCTGGCCCGTTGCACTGAGCTGAAGCGAGGGCCCCTCTCCCCGGGCCTCCCAGCTTTTCTTAGAAGGTTCCTTGCACGGGGCAGCACAGCCGCAGCTCTCCTGTGATGTCAGAGGACAGACCATCCCAGGGACGGTGGCTCTGGTTTGTTTTTTTTTTTTTTTTTGAAAGTTACCTTCCCTTTTAAATTCTGATTACAAAGGAAAACCAATAAGTATATAGAGCTATGCATGGGGTTCATGTCCACGGCTAGTTCCAAAATTCTTCTCTGCGGTAAGAGGCACAGGTTCCCACAGTAACACACACAAAAGCAAAATTCTAGAACAACATAGAAGATAGGAAAACAAAAACAAACCAATCCAGAGAGATAGTTTGCATTTCTGTACATTACAAAAGAAAAAAAAAAAAAGAAATACGAACAGAAACAAAATAACTGGAAAACACACATGAATTCTCCCACCCTCTCCCCTTGCCAGCTAAACAAGAAATGGAATCACAATATTACCACGTTTCAAGAAGGAGGCTAAAAAACAAACAAAAACATAGACGGGGTTAAAAAATGTTGACCTTTGCTTTTTCCGTTTGTTTCTCTCTCTCTTTTTTTCTTTTTTTTAAAAAAAGAAAGGTAGCATCCGAGCATACCACCCCCAGTACTCTTCCCCAGAGACATTTTTGTCGTTGTTGTTCAAGGTCCAGTCTGAGACACGGGGGCCCTGGCCTCACCTCTCTGCACCCGAGAAAAGAGGCTTTTTGGGCAAAGAAGGGATCTGAGCATTGTGCGGTCCCGGGGTGGTCTGGGGACACTGCTTTGTGGAAGGGGTCGCCAGGGCCCCCTGGGGCCCCGTGCAGGGGGAGTGTCCCTGGGGGAGGGACGCGGGGTGTGGGTGTTGCCGGAGGCCTGGCATGCTTCCTGCTCTCTCTGGGGCCGTCTGCCGTGGGGTCAGCATTAGCCCAGGAGAGAAGGGGTGGGCTGCAGTGGGGGGGGGGGGTTGCTCAGGCCTCCAGGGCCAGGGAGGGGACCAGAAGTGGGAAGCTTATGACTCCCTGCACCTGTTGGGAGGCCCAGGAGGCTGTGACGATTTCGAGGGGGTTGGGGCCTTGTGCTCACCGGGAGGTTTGCCTGTCACCTCCAGGGCCTATGGCACCGGTACCTGCCGTGGCAACCCTCAACTGCCTCTGCATGCCCTCTGGCTCCCAAGACAGAATCCATGCCCTCCTGCCCATGTGGTCCAACTGTGTCCTCCCCCAGCCCCACGGCCTGGCCCCCCGTCCAGGGGGAGCGACTTAGAGATAGGTGATGTCCTTCAATAGCCATTGACCTTGACTCCCACAGCGTTTGGCCAGCTGCCCTTGACTGTCCTCTCTGAGGCCACTGGGAGTAAGGGGGGTGTTTGAGAAAAGAAAGGGAGTGAAAGAACACAGCCAAAAATCAAAATGAAACTGACCGACACGTACATGTTTGCTGCCGAGACCTGAGGTCGGGGAGCAGCGGCTCTCCCACTCCTGGCTGAGGCTTCTGGGGTGCTGTGCGGGCCTGGGGAGGAAGCCACGGGCCTCCCCGCCCCATGCCTCCCACTCCCCCCTCCAGTGCCCCTGCCAGCACTGTACAGCCCCCTCTCTCTGAGGGCCCCCAACCCTGCGCTCTGGACAGACAGCTCTTCCCCCCGGAGAGCCCCAACCCTGGCCCGGCCCACGCATCCGGAGAAGCCTGTCTCCTACAGCGCCAGCCCCCAACCCGTGGGTGACCGGAAGTCTGTGCCCCTCCCGGAGCGTGGGTGGGGGATTGTTTCGGGGGCGGTGTTGGGGTCTCCGAGGGAGTGGGTGTCTCTTGGGACGGCTAGGGCACTGGAGCGAGCCTCTGGGAGCTCCTGCCCAGTGTGGGGCAGA